TTTTTCAAACAACAAGTTTTCGAGATTATGAGGTTTTCGAAACTCCAAAGTTTTCGATGTTCAAACTTTTTGAAATTCTGCAGATTTCGATATTCTGAGGTTTGTTTTGCAGGTGGATTTGGCCATTATTCTTCGAGGCAATCTCTAGAATTTTGTTTAAAATCCACCTGCTCTCGACATTCAACATCGAGAACCTCATCTTCGAAGAAATTCCTCAAAAACTCAAAATTAGAGATTTTCTGCGACACCGCACTGTTTTGGCCTTAACTTTTGACTCGGTGATCCGATTTGAGCAAACTTTTTTGTGTTGGAAAGCTAACGAGAAGATCTACATTAATTATCGAGCTATGCCCCAGAACCCATTCTCACGCGCCCTCACTCGCACTCTTTGAGGGTCAAAACGTGAGTTTTCCGACAAACATTGTAAATCACCGATGTCCAGGTCAAAACTTAGGCAAATCTGTTCAAATTCTTTCAAAGTCAACCCTGAGGTCAAACATTTTCTAAACTTCAATGTAAAGGTCTGAAAATCGTAGATAATTCAATCAACCTCGCGTCAACGGTCATCTTACAACAATCAACAATCAACTGCTGAAGCCTCCCCTGACTCATCAACATTATGTGATCATCAACATGCTGAAATTCTACATGGTGAGCTCAGAAAACCGTCATGTGTGGTACATGTTCAGATTGCTCCACACACATGGCGGGTATGACGAGCTGTGAGCAATCAAACCTTGCACATTCTGAGGGGGAGTCTCAGTTTTCTCCTCCTGGCGCCTTACACCGACAAAGCAAGGAATCTCTCATCGGATGCAACATTCTAGGGGGAGTGCTCAAAGTAATCCTCCTCGGTGCCTAACAATGACAAAGCAAACCGAGTGCTCCAGTTGAGGGGGAGTACAGAGAGAAAATGAGAAAGTAATGAGAGAACATGTCCCTATGGCTTAGTAAACCCAACTAAGTCTACCCAAGGGACAAAGCCGAGCGTAAGTGCGTAAGTGAGCGAGTGAGTGAGTGAACATTATGAGCATTAGGAAGCAGAAGGCTCAAGTGAGAAGCAAACAATTATCAATGATGAGTCTGCTACCTCAATTGCCTGTTATGAATTGAACATTTGCTCCTAGCCACTAAAATACTCTGGACTATCCCCATAGGTTCAGGACTGAATTTATTCAGATCCCGGGTAGAAGTCGCTGCATTTTGTCCAAACGGCGCATGCACAACCCTACCCTAGACCACTCACTTGTCTCCCAACAGACAGGTGTTTAATCATAGTTCACGGGGAACCACATCTCTCATTACTGTCTCCTTCCGAGGCAAGTAATACTGACTACAGTGGCCTCAGCCCCATGCCACTGAACTTTCATTGATCACGTCGTGTCTAGTTACTCACTTCCCAAATGTTTTGAAATTTTCTAGGACACAGACACATTTTAGAGTTAGTTGCTAGTCTTCAAGACTTGCGAGAACTTCCATAGGGCTCATCTATTACAGATGAAGACCAATGATTGGAAGGAAGTCCTGCTGTTGCAACATAAGAATCACCAACATTTTCAGGCCATTGCTTTAGAGTTTATCTCTATAGTGATGATAACGGGTGTCTTCACGACCCCGGGGGGCTACGTTATCTTTTTTAGATTCTGCTTGTTTTTCATGTTTTTATTTCCGCAGAATAAAAGAATAAAAACATGACGTCCCGATTCATCGGATCGTCATGAGGGGGAGAGTGGTCCACATGCTGTTAACAATGAACAAATCATTCTGGGACACTTTACTCCTCCATCACAAAATTCAACACCCTCTCTACTATCTCCGCAACTCAAATCAAATGGTCAGCTACACTCACAAATCAACCATCATTATGTTCCGCTGTGCCACCGACAAGTTCTCCTCAAATGCATTCATTCCAAATAGTCAAAAAGAGTACATTGTGGAGGAGACAGAGGTCAAATACTCGTGTCCTGAAGATGAATTCCATGGGCGTCTCCTATTCTCCAAAGAATATTCATTCTAGAGGCGTCACCGGACTTCATCCAAGCTGATCAAGAGCAACTTCTGGAAGGGAAGGATTACATGCAAGATACAGAAGGTCCCTCAACCCCCGGCATCAAAGATCAAATTGTCAAGAAGACATCAAAGGGGAGATTGCAAGGATTTCTTCGCTGTAGCCATCCTCAGAAGTCAAGTTCAAAGACAAAGGAAGCTCAATAACAACAAAGACAAAGATATCTGCGCTGCAATGCTGATTCAACACGATTGATCACCAAGGGGGAGATTGTTGGGAATATTTTATGGTGTTCAATCTAGTTAGTTATCTTTGTATTTGTGTAGTTATTAATTAAACGTGTAATACGGGCCACAAATGTGTATCAGCCCGTGGGCTTCCTTGTAACCCGTAAGTTAGCCAACTTCTCCTATAAAAGGAGGCTAACTTACGGGAACCTAACTGATCGTGAGAGGCTGAGACGCAGAGGCGTAGAGATAGAGAGAAATTAGGGTTGCCGCTGCTCTCCTTCTCCAGGGAGAGTAGCGGCAGATTCATACGGTATACCAGATTCGCGTTCAATCTTGTCGATTTCTTTCTATCTGCTTCTTTATCACTGCTATGGTTGTATGATTATTAGAATTCTGGGACTAACACAGACTAAGCTAAAACTTACAAAAGAAATTCTAATACACAATTTCTAATGGGGTACTTTCAAATTCTAATAAACCTAGCATCATCAAAATCTAAATACATTTATTCCTTACAATTACATTCTTATTAATAAGTAGCGATGAATTTTCAAGAACGTGGAAAGTGGTATTCTTTTCTATTTTCGGTGTGACTGAAGTATTTATATTTGGATTTCTTAAACTAATTATCGTCAGCGTATAAGGTACGTAACATTTTCCTGTTAACTATAAATTAATATATCATGCATATGTTGAATTATGATTATTATGAATGAGCTTATACCCATAGTATATAATTTGAAGGTTTACTAGTTAACTGTGCTTGCTTATTCAATAAATAAATAATTTCTTAATTTTTTTAATACTCAGGCACAATGAATAGAGAAAATAGAAATGGGATGTATAATCAATATGTTGGCAATGGTAGAGGATTGACACAAGAGTTTAAGAATGGAGTTACTGAATTTGTGAAGTTTGCACAACAACAAACACGGTACATGGATGGAAATAAGATAAGATGTCCGTGTAAGATGTGTAAAAATAACAAATTTTTGCTTGGTGAGGACGTGTGTTGGGATTTATATACTAATGGTTTTATCGAAAACTATTATAATTGGACTTCTCAAGGATAACCGATCGAGGCATGTTATTTGCCGCAAGCCGTCGGAACATCTAATTATGTTCCAGATGAGATGGCTCGTTGGGGAATTATGAAGATATGCAATGTGGTCAAAAAATGGTTTATGATTTGGGGACTTCTGCATTTCACAATACCCATCCGAATACTGATTTCATTGCACACACTAATGCAGATGAGGGACCATGATCATATTTTTATGATGTTGATGCGTCAGACACTAGATTTCAAGATGTTCTTAAAAGTGCGAATCAACCATTATATTCTGATTGCGATGGTCATTCGCAGTTATCAGCGATTTCTGAATTTTTGAATAAAAAGTCTGAATATAATCTGTTTGAGAATTGCCTGTCCAGAATACTTGACTTTGTTGGTAGCATGTTACCACGTGATCATTCTCTTCCCGACACTTATTACAACATGAAAAAATTCGTCTCTGAATTGGGTCTCCCCATGATTAAAATCCATGCATGCCCCGGAGGATGCATGTTATTTTGAAAAAATGATGAAGGATTGACCCGATGTAAGTTTTGTAATGAGGATAGGTACCAGCCTATCTCAACAATGAGGCACAAACCACAAAAAAGATCTGCAACATCGAAATTGATATATTTGCCTTTAGCACCACGTCTGCAAAGATTGTATGCCTCACGTGCTACAGCCAAATACACGACGTGACATGTAGAACATGACACAGAAGAAGGATTAATGTGTCACCCATCAAATTCGGAGGCATGGAAGCATTTGGACCGATGTTATCCTGAATTCGCTATAGAACCACGCAACGTTCATCTTGGGTTATGTGCTGATGGTTGTGCCCCGTATGGTCAATTTGGTGGACAGTTCTCATGTTGGCCAGTTATCATCACACCGTATAATCTGCCTTCATACATGTTTATGAAACAACATTTTATGTTTTTATCGTTAATGTGTCCTGGACCTGGTAATCCTAAGAAACAAATTGATGTGTACCTACAACCATTGATTGAAGAGCTGAAACAACTATGGGATGTAGGTGTTCCTACATATGATGTTTCGAGAGAGCAAATATTTAATTTGAGAGCTGCGACTTTATGGACAATTAGTGATTTTCCAGCATATGGAATGCTTTCTGGTTGGAGTACCGCATGCCTTATGGGGTTTCCTATTTGTATGGAGAAGTCAAATTCATTTTGGCTAAAAAATAGCCCCAAACCATCTTATTTTGATTGTCACCGCAGATTTCTCCCCCAAACCATCCATATCGAAAGGATAAAAAGCCATTTCGCAAGGGGCACATTGAGCGTGATTCTCCACCTCTGAGGTTGACAGGATATCAAATTTTTAATCGTGTTCAACACATTCCTTCTGCCATAGATGAATCTCTTGAGTATCCAGATGGATATTTGAGTCATCATAAATGGACCGAAAAAAGTATTTTTGGGAGTTACCATACTGGAATGATCTTCTCATTAGACACAATTTGGATGTAATGCATATTGAGAAAAATGTTTTTGATAACATTTTCAACACGGTCATGAACTTTAAGGGGAAAACCAAAGATGGTCATCCCGAAAGGATGTAGCTTTGTATTGTGATAGACCGAAAATAGCTATGGGCCCCTAGTATGAAGGCTCGTACAAGAAAGTTGTTTACCAAGTGACGATTGAACAAAAGCAAAAAATATTGGAGTGGCTTATTCAACTGCGATTTCCAGATGGATACACATCCAACTTCCACAAAATTGTTGGCTTAGAGAAGTTGTCAATAAAAAATATGAAGAGTCATGATTGTCACGTAATCATGCAACGTTTACTCTCAGTTGCTCTGAAGAAAAATCTTCTGGATCATGTATGGGCGTGTATTGCTGATGTTTCGCAAATTTTTCAGTTAATATGTTCGCCTGTACTAAACAAGAAATCGTTTGATGACCTCCACCGCAACCTTCCCATTATAATGTGTAATCTCGAAAAAGTGTTTCCTCCATCTTTTTTGATGGAATGGAGCATCTACTTATCCATCTTCCATGGGAAGCTATAAAGGGAGGTCCACCATTTTATAAATGGATGTATAGCTTTGAGAGGTAGATATTTTTAACATTTTTGTCCATATTTTATACATATTTTATTACGAGATAATTACATTTGTTCAATGTTGTCAGTTTTTTGCGGGAACTCAAAAAAAGTGATAAATCTAGCTCACATCGGAGCTTCTATCTGCCAAGCATACCTCACAGAAGAAGTTTCTACATTCTCTTCTTTCTATTTTGAAAGAGATGTCATTACCAAACAAAAAAGACCTGCTAGAAATGATGACATTGTTGAGGGAATGTATGAGCAAATGGTATCAATTTTCAACCATCCCGACAAAGGTTATGGTAGACGAACACATCGTCATGTTGTCGGAGATGAGTTCCGAATTGCACACACCTACATTTTGGTGAACTGTCCTGAAGTTATTCCGTATTACAGGTAAGTGAACTTATTATAAACAATGTATTTATTATTCATCAAGTATTTTATAATATTTATTACGAGATAATTTATATATATACATATATATAAATATATGTATTTTGTAATATATATATATATATATATATATATATATATATATATATATATATATATATATATATATATATATATATATATATATATATATATATATATATAATCTGCAATGCAGTGAGTTCATAGAATATCTTACCAATTCCAGTTACGGGAACGACGACATTGATCATTTCATCGACACTGAGTTTGCAAGATGGTTCAAGCAGACGGTACAACATTACACTATTTGATAAAATACAGTAACTTCAGACATTTTTTTAATCCGCTAATTATGACATTTTTCCCAGATACTGCACGAAGCTAGCACAAGGACTATGGATCCTTTTTGGAGTCATTAGTATGGGGCCTGAAACTTTAGTGAAATGGTGGTCTATCTATTTTGTCAATGGTTACAAATATCATACTCGAGTCTATGGAAACAATAAACCCACAATGAATAGTGGAGTGTGTGTCCCGACATGCAATTATGATAACTCAGAGACTGGTTTCTTTGGATATGTCGACGAAATACTAAAGATGAAATTTCAACGTGAAAAGGAGTTATCGATTGTACTTTTCCGATGGACCTAGGTAGATCCCGTGAGGGGGGGGGGGGGGTGAGAAAACATGACAAACACAACTTACTCGATGTGAATCATGCGTGGGTGTATCAGGAAAACGAGTCATTCATTTTAGGTCAACAAGCTGCACAAGTTTATTACGCAGAATATCCAATAACAAAGCAGATAATATCTCCTTGGGTTTGCGCATGCACTTTTAGACCGAGAAAGGTTGTTTCTCATGCAATACATAAGAATGTCTATATTGACTTTTACCAAGAGTTTTTTCTCGCTCCGGTTCCACAAACTATTGACGAGGAACTTAATTTCGAAGATTTTACTGGAGCAAAAATAGAACCCGATCCCAACGACGGCAACGATGACCCTAACGAAGGAAGTCAGTATGACGAAGAATGGAACTTTCAGACGGAAGATACAGATGAAAATGATTACACTGACAATACTGACCGAGATGCTGAAGATGAATGAATAATATGAAATTTGTAGTTGTTTTGCATTTTTTAATTATGCTTCTTTTGAATAATGTTTGTATTTCGTACTAAATAAAAGCATTTCGTATTATTCATTTTTTAAAAAATTATTAATAAATTTAAATTAAATAATCTAAATTTAAAAAATTTAAGTCGAAATGAATTTAATATTTTAATAATCAAAATTCATCAAAAATAATATTAAATTTCAATTATCATAATCTAAATTTATGTTTAATAAGTAATAAGACGAAATAATAATAACTTAGAGTAGAATTTCATTTTCATAACAACAACATACATGGACACTGTAATTAAACATTTTTATTAGATAAAAAGTTCAACATACACCACAAACACAGACTAAAATTCGATTATTACAAATGACTCGCAAGGAAATACAACATTAAACGATACAACGATTTCCATCTTCATGAAGTTGGTTTGCTATCAACTTCTTCCTCAACAAAGCTCTCAACACTGCTGATCTTATGTTCATCAGGTTTTGTCAATATGTAGTTAATTTCTTCGGCATCATCATCATCAATAGGTTTCAGATATTTAAGGATTTGTCTCATTGTATCAATTTTTTCCATAAACCATCCCAATCAGGCTTTTTTCTGCAGATCCTTCTTTTTTTCCATTGTTTTTTTGCATATCCTTCTTTTTTCCCATTGTTTTTTCCATTTTCCTAATTTTTTCCCCTAAACCATCCCAAAACTTATGTACTTCACTAGCCCTATTTGTACTAAAATATGTATACTATTTGGCTAGGAAAATGGCGTGCCTAAACCATGTCAAACCTCTCCCGAAACTACCCTAACGTCTCTATTTGGAACGGATAGAGCCTTGCCAAAACCAAGCCAAGTCGGTTCTGATGCCTCGCTACTGACAGTTCTGACCATTTTGACGTGTGTACAGTTTGGCTCGACATATTCCCTTCCAAATCCTAGACAAATTTGAAATTTCTTTTCCCGGGTGGACATATCGATGTACAAGGTGGTGGGAGGGTTTTTGGCTCAGAACATTTCTAAGCCAATAGCGAACAATCTATTCAAAGAGTCTAGAAAAACGTTGTCTCGGATGATCCGTCCCAGATTCCTTGCCAAACTAAGAAATATTTAAGCCGTATTTCGCCACTTTTATCACTTTGTGAACCATAATATTGTACATCCACCCTTCTCCTTCTCTTTCTTTGTGAACCCTATCAACCCTAATCCCAACCGAAGCCTCTCACTGCTCCTTCCCGACTCGGTGAAGCCACAATGAACGCCACTCATTCTACTCTGGTACGGTGAAGTCGATCTTTCATCCAATCCGCTCATTCATGTTATTTTCCTTAAATTAATAATGGTTTTATTTTTTGTTATCTGTTTTATATGATTGTTTTTATAATTTTAAAATTTTCCGTTTCTTTCGTGAACTCTTTATACGAAAAGGTAATGTTTTATATTCGTATCTTTATTCGTTAACTCCTTGTATGTGCATTCATATCTTTATTCGTTATGTTATATGAACTGATTTTTACCCGAAACTATGAACTGATTTAATATTCATTCGTGAATTCTTTGGGTATTCTGTTCATTTGATGCGTATTTTGATACGACTGTTGTTTATATTTAATTTTATTTGTGTGTGCATTCGTATCTTTATTTGTTATGTTATATGAACTGATTTTTACCTGAAACTATGAACTGATTTTATATTCTTTCGTGAATTCTTTGGGTATTCTGTTCATTTGATGCGTATGTGGATACAGCTGTTGTTTATACTTAATTTCATTTGTATGTGCATTCGTATCTTTATTCGTTATGTTATATAAACTGATTTTTACCTGAAACTATGAACTGATTTTATATTCTTTCATGAGTTTTTTTGGTTATTCTGTTCATTTGATGCGTATGTGGATACGGCTGTTGTTTATACTTAATTTTATTTGTATGTGCATTCGTATCTTTATTCGTTATGTTATATGAACTGATTTTGTTGTATAAGTCTATTATGAACTTGAATGATTTATCAGTCGATTGTGATCTATCAATTGATTTTGATGCATCAGTCTGTTATACTTCATTGATTTATCAGTCGACTTCATTGATTACATAAGTCTATAATGAACCAAATATATTGTATATAATTTGTATAGAAATTACTTCAAATAGGACTAAAACAATAGCAAAAACTCAAAACAGAACTTGCTATGTTTTTATTCCAAAATAGGACCATATGAGTCCTATTTGGAAAGATACCTATTTTTACCTTCCATTCTTACCTTTTCATTAAATATGAGTTAAAAATAGTCAAAAACCATAATTAAATGTTTTATTCATAATAAATTCTAAGAAAAATCAAAAATTTGTAGAAAAATAATTAAAAAATTTACAAAATAATTACTACCTCCGTTCTTAAATAAATGCAACACTTTGACTTTTACACTATTCACATGTTCTACTTTGACTACGTTTTATTTATTAATGTAATAATATTATTTTATGAAAAAAATATTGTTAAACTTGTCTCATTGTAAATTTTCATAGTCTAATTTTTTTAATTTTTTACTAATACAAAACCATTTATATTAATGGTCAAAGTTGTGTCTCGGCAAGTGTGAAATGTTGACCATTGCATTTATTTAAGAACGGAGGAAGTATAAAATAAAAAATTCAAAAAAAAAATTAATATTTTTTTTATAAAAAAAATTAATAAAAAATAGTAAAACTCCATAAAAAAACTAAAAAAAATATGGATGCCTTTCCCACCGCCTGTACTACCTCCCTGCACCACCACCTTCGGCCAGTGAAAAAAATGTCATTTTTCCTAAAAACTACCATTTTTTCTGAAAATGCCAAAAAGTGGCATATTTCTCTTTGCGAATGCCAACATTTTCATTATTTTCTGCCATAAATATGGCATTCGTAATGAACTTGGATTTTTTTCCCTGGTGACTGGAGGTGGTGGTGCAGAGGCGGCACAGACGGCGGTGAATTTTATTTTAATTTTTTGAGTTGTTTATTTTTTTTTAATTTTTTTTTGAAAACAAATTAATTAATTAATTATTATTATCGAAATATTTTTATTAGTTTGTTAGTATTTTTTACGAATTTTTATTATTTTTTATTATTTTATTATGAATTAAAACATTTTAATAGCTAGAAGGGTATATTTGTCCAAGACACACATAATTAGTCCTATGAAAATATAGTTTAGTGTTTTGTCCTATTTGTGCTCATGAAAATATAGTCCTATGAAATTGACCAAATAAATTGTTTGAGTTTTAGACTTCATGTCTGCTGCTAGAGGAAGTTTCAATTCTTTCTGGGGAGGTTGGGGAGGTTCTGTGAACCAAAACCAGAATGTTGTCTCGAATTCTCCTGTTGCTACTTCCCTAGAATCTGTTCAATCACGAGCAATGAATGATGAACCTTCTGATCATACGGGCCATGAGTGTGTCCAGAATGTGTCAAAAATCGGGATCTTAGCCCATGAAATGCGCAGGTATGGTTGCTTTTTAGCTTGTCCGTGTTTTATTTATATTCTTTCTTGAATATGTATGATAATTTGGAATAGTATTCATGTGTAGCAACCCTATTGTTCTTAACTCTATAACTTCGATTATTACCAACAATTTCCATGGGCCGTGGCACTCATTCAAGCATGCAGATGTAGATCAACAAGAACGTTGGTGGC